AACTCATAATGTTCTTCTTCCTCAAAGTCAATTTGGAGTGAGAAAATCAAATACATTTTCAACTGTCTTCCCCAGATTGAATGGATGCTTGTCGGAACGCAATTAAGTGGCAGCAATGATTTTTTGCATGATTTATACATTTTTAAACATTTTCGAAATACAAGATCCAGGGACAAAGGAACAATTTCAATTTGCAAGGATGGCTATTAATTTTATTTTATTGGTTAATTTCCTTTGCTGGGATGATGTGAAACAAAAACTCGAGCAAATATTTGCTCCGCTGCTGGAGGGCTAGATTTGTATTTGAAAAATTTCAATCATCTTCTCCAAAGTGAAACATTTGTTTGAGAGAGAAAATCAAATCAACTTTCAATAAAAATTTGGGGATTTAAAACATGCACATAATCTATTTGACAAAATGCATTAGAGAAATTTGGTTTTCACTCAATTTTCCTTGTTTCAGGTCCAATCACAGTAGCCACAATAGCAGCTACAAGAACAATGGAAGATAAGCCAATGATTGAAATTCTAGGTATCGTTTTTATACCCCCCTGGTTTACCATCAGGGTTGAGAGGCCATGGCCGGAAAACACTTTTATTTATCATTTTTTGTGGTTGGAGAATTTGATTGCTTAAGGAGGTTATATATAGACAGTTGTATATGTGCATGGAATGAATGTATTTTGCATTGCAGTGTGGATTTACGCACAAGGCATTTTCAATCTCGAAGTGCTTATCATTCATTTCATGCAACACAATCATGAGGCGAATGAGCTATTATTTTGGTGCATTTGAGTTATTTGTGAGAATGAAATATTTAGAGAATTATTTTCCAGCTGAATATACTTGTGTTTGTGACCTTAGTAAATATGTTTGTGTGCGTATGTGTAGAGTTACATTAGCATAATCGTTCACAATATAAGTTTTGTGACCCCAGTTATAATTTTGTGACCTTAGTTTTATGTTTGTGACCTACTGTTTAAGTTTGGCATCATGTGCTTGGGTATGTGAAGAGGTTTTATATCCATTTCATCTTATTTGTAGATAAAATATGTTAACATATAGAATCCAGTTTTGTTTAGTGTTAATGTTTGTGACCTTAGTAATGTTTGTTAACATGATGATTATCACAAACTCTCACATATATGGTCACAAATAATTTAGTTGTGCTTAAGACAAGTCACAATCATATAGGTCAGCACCAAACAAAAGGTTGTCGTTAAACACTGCACCACATATTATATCACATTTAAACAATCATATAAACATAGGTAGAAATATTTATTATTACAAGATCATAATCAGTAAGTCTTATTCCAATATTATTTCAATGTTATAAAGTAATATTACACAAAGTTCTGAATAAATCCAAAAAAAAAAAAAAAATTGGAAGCGAAAACTGTTTCATGAATCTATTACAAAAATAGTGTAATATGTGACCACCTTTTGCTATTTTTTTTTTCCATTCAATTTTTCCTTGTTTCTGCTCTAGTGGCACCATGTTGTTGCAATTACTCAATATTTGGACTGAAGACAATGTAGAATTCAACCTATATGTCATTGTAATTGCAACTTTTGCATCAACATACTTGCAAGAATCCTCCACTAGAATTAAGGGAGTGTGACCTCCATACGGCAAGCAAACAATCAGAAACCATGTTAATTCACATTTACACCATATCATTATAACGACATTAGTCACAAGTAATAGCACATGTCACAACAAATATAGAAGTTTCGAATTCGGATTACGTTTGTTGGAGGACGATCCTGAATCTTAGGAGTTTCCATTTAAGTTGTTATCTCCAATTTTTCTATTTATGGAAAAAAATTGTTTTTTTAATTTTTTATTATTTATTTTTCGAAT